GCGGCTGTCCCGTCCGCGGTCCCTCCAGGTGTCGCGAAGTCCGTCGCAGCGGAGCCCGGGCAGGGCTGACTCGAGCCTCCCTGGGAATCGCCGGCCGCTGCCGTTGCCGCCCCCCCTCTCGCGGGCCGGCGGCGCCGAACTTTCCCCGACGCCTGCCTCCTCCCTTTCGCCTCTGGCCCTGCGTGTCGCTGCCCTCGCCACCTTTGACACTCTTCGCCCCCTGGCTAATTCCTGCTGCATCTCAGTTGAGATCGCCCCTCCTCTGGGAAGCCCGAGTTTGAGGGCGCTGCCGTGCCCTGTCCTTTCCCTAAAGTAGCATTTCTCACAGTAGGGTCGTCTGACACCCCCCTCCCCCCTCCCCCCCGGACGTCTCTCCTCTCCTTCCAAAGCTGAGTCAGGGAAGGAACTTGGTCTTGTCTTAGTTCTGTCGTATTCTCAGCACTCAGCCCCGCACCTGACTCGTACTAAGTGTCCGGCAGGTAATTATCGAATAAGAAGAGTTTAGCACGGTGCTGAGGCGTCCAATGCAGGATTCCCTTGATTTTTATGAAATTTCTCCTTAGTTGCACTAACAAAAGTGGCATGGGATGTTTGGTTTGCTCCTGGCCTGGAGTCCATGAAGGGTTGATGGGGACAGGGCTGAGAGAAGGGTGACCAGAATGGTGGGAGTGACCCTGGCTGATGCGTGCCGCTCTCCCCATCCCCCCAGCGGCTGGACTCTATTACCTGGCAGAACTGATAGAAGAATACACAGTGGCCACCAGCAGGATCATAAAATACATGATCTGGGTAAGTGGCTCTTTTGCTGTGGCTCAAAAGCAGGAGTGGGGAAACTTTGGAGTGGATGATGAGGCCTCTGTTTCTGCTGTTTCCTGAGAGTGTCACTCCTTCTTTTCCCTGAACCCTGTCTTTTGTGTCTGCACTCCCGGGCCCAGATCTTTCCCTGGGCTTCTTCTCCAAGTGACATTGTTTCACTGCAGACCTTTTCCTCCATTCCTTAAGGTGACAGCTGAGTGCATATCCTCTGTTGACAAGACCATGGCTCTTGCCTGACTTTCTCCCACTGTCTTTAGCCCCTTGCTCTGCTCACAGCATTTAGAATTCAGAGGAACCCTCAGGCAGTTTTGAGTATTTGTTTACTGCCCTCTTTCTAATCAGATCAAGTGATTTGTTCTAAGAGGGGAGAAGCTTCTGGGGCTCTGCCCTCCTCTAGTCTCAGGGGAGGCTTCTCTTCCTGAAGACACAGGAGTGACTGGTGGGTGTCACATTTCTGCCAGCTGCGGGAAAGGCTAGGGGTGAGAGTGGGGATGCATTTGGACAGGAAGAGTCCCTCAAGTTACCTGTGTCAGCAGCCGCTTGCACTCTGGGCATGGCCGAGGTTGGGAGTTAACAGTGGAGACAAGACTGTAGCCTTCAGCTCTGGGTTCAGCACCCGGCTTGTGGGCGTTGGCATAGGAGTTAGACCTTCATTCAGCCAACTGTCATTTGTTAAGCACTGACAACTATAAGGCCTTCAGAACGGTGTTTTGCAAACTGCAGGCGTGGTTCATTATTGGGTTATATAATCAATTCAGTAGGTCATAGTCAGCGTTTTTTAAAAAATGGAGTAGAAAAGACTAGAATTGAAATTTGAGCTCTGATCATATATACGTATGTGTGTTGGGGTTACAGTATAAAATGTTTTTCTTATTGTGAGTTGCTGTCAAGAAAGTTTGAAAAACAGCATTAAGATGCTGCCCTTTGGGAGCTAAGAGTTTGGTGGAGGGAACCAGACCTATAACTGAAATGAGGAAATTGAAGCATGAACCTAATGCCACCTGGAGTGGACTGGGGGTGAGTGAGTCCTGGAAGGTTGCCTTCAAGAGGCTTCCCTCACTGTGTGCCTCTGGTTGTTTTCAGTTCTCCACAGCTGTGCTGATTGGCCTTTATGTCTTTGAGCGCTTCCCCACCAGCATGATTGGCGTGGGCCTCTTCACCAACCTCGTCTACTTTGGCCTCCTCCAGACCTTTCCCTTCATCATGCTGACCTCGCCTAACTTCATCCTGTCATGCGGTGAGAGGGGACAGAGTTGGGGAGGAGCTGGCTTGGTTTGATGTGCCCATCTCCGTCCTCGGCACTGAAGGGGATACCACTCTGAGGTCCTCCAGTAGGCTGGGATGATTGGGAGGATGGGCTGTCACTCTTGAGGACCCTAGAGTCCACCTTGGGTCTAGTGACTGGAATTACTTGGGGGTGAGGGTTCAGACAGGGAGTGCTTTTCCAGGGATGTAGGTTTGAAGAAGGGCTTGGAAGGGAGAAGGGGTTGTGGGTCAACTGCGGGAAGGCCCCCAGCTGAATAGGTCCAGCCTCAAGAAACCACCTGACCAGAAGCAGCCCAAAGCCCTTCCTTGGCAGGCAGGCAGTTCCCATCCTGCCCTCTGACCCAGAGGCATGATTAAGACCTAGGACCTCATGCGCCTCTGAGCCCCTGCAGACCCTGGCCTGGTATGCAGCCTCAGGGGGCTGCCTTGTCTCGTTCCTGCTGGCTGCAGCTGCTTCGGGGTTGCAGCCTGTGTGTGGAGGACTCAGCCTTCCTGTCTTTGCCCTGCCACCACTTTCTGACCTGGGGAATCATTGCCCCCCGGCTGGTCTTCGCTTCTCCATCTGTCAGAGGCGGTGTTTCTGAAGGAACTGTTGGGAGACTTGGTTGGCACATAGTAGGTGCTTATAGGTATGGAAGAGGTCTGAAAAGTGTTTGATTGACAGGGTTGCCATTGCTCCTGGTCATTGTTACTGGTCATTCCAGCATTTGTTCAGGGTATCAGGTGGAGTTGGGGATGTTTAGAATGAGTTTTCTATTTCTGTGGGAGAACCTGGAAAGAGAATATTATCCACATGGAGGGTGTGTTTTTAAAGCCAAAACTAGTTTCTTCCAAGTGCCTTGGTGTGATTTTACCAGGGAATTCATTCATCGGGGATTTGGGGAGCCCTTCCCAGGAAAACAGACCCTTTGTGTCTCCCCGGGTGGTAGGTCTCCCCAACCCTAGCAGCAGGCTCCCCTCGCTTGCTTTGTCACTCCCTGACCTGCCCTTTCGATGCCTGAGGGAGCTTTCCAAAAGGTCTTGGGGCACCAGGCACCATCCTATTTTCTGGTGTCCCTTAGCTCTAGAGTGTGGCAAAGCATAGCAGAGCTGTGCCTTAGAAGGGAGAGGCAAGAGAGGAGAAAGAAGTGGCAGTTGCTGTGAGGTATGTCCAGTTTCAGGGGATACGTTCCTTCGGTGCCTGCCCTTCACCTCACCGTGGGAACAGGCAGGAATGCCTATCTCTGAGCAGCCTGTGCCCAGGACCTGCTGCGCTCCCTCTTCATAAACCTGGCTGCCAAGGAGGCGTGTGTGTCTGGAACATACCACTTCAGACCAATGTGTCTTACCCTGGGCAGGATGGGGAAGAACTCCCTTAGAAATTTGAGGAAGCCTGAGACTGTACCTCAAAGCATCTAGCAAATTGTGCCCTTTTATTCCCAAGGAGTGAGAGCCTCTTTATTGAGGCAGCTTCTCCCTGCTGCCCGGTTTGGAGTGGCATCTCTTAGGGGTCCGATCTGCACACCCATAACTACTTTCCACCTCCTACCCATGGGAGAGTTTTCTACAGGATTCATATCCACTGAAACCCAGATTCATTGTCATGATGCTGTGGATTATGTAACACGGAAGTCCCATTTCTATAACATGCAAAGAGCTTCCTTACCTACCTTTTAATTTCACCCTAATGCCCTCTGCAGTGGCCAGGAGGCTAATTTTCCCATTTTAACAAGTGGGAAACTGGGTTCTAGACAGTAATGTACGTGGCCCAAAGCCTTACTCTGAGTTGTGTGTAAAGTCAGGACTAAGACCCAGGGCTCTCGACTCCCCGGGGTCTTCTGAAGGCTCAGAGTCCAGGTTATGTTACTCCCCCCATACTGACTGACTCTTCATTCCCTCGACAGGACTAGTGGTGGTGAATCATTACCTAGCATTTCAGTTTTTTGCAGAAGAATATTATCCTTTCTCAGAGGTAAGAAATGTCCAGTGCATTCAGCTCCTCACATAGATGGAGGAGTGAAGGGACTTGCATGTTTGCTTTGTGACCCTTAGCTATGATTTGACACTGAGTCTACTCAGGGATGACATGTTTGAAAGGAAATACAGGTGACTTTAGAAAGCAGTATAGCTAAAGAATAGAAGGGATGCGTTGCCTTTGGGGTGGGGAGGACACTGCTCTCCCGCCAAGGCTTTCTCCCTGGATTTTGCCAGACCCCGCTGCTCCAGCTTGAATCCCAGGGAAGAACAGAGTCACTTCTTTGGGGAGTGTGAGTCAGTCATGGCTTAGCCCTCCATCGGCCTCCTTCAGTCCAGAGGAGTTGCTGGTCCTAGTGACGAAGATTTGGGGATTGTGGCCACATTTAGTCCTCTTCAGCCTCCCTCTCCTGACTGAATTGAGGCAGCTTCTCCCTGCTGCCCGGTTTGGAGTGAAGTATTTCCATGTCGGAAGATGCCCTGTCCCTGCTTCCTGGGCCCTCGCTCCCTTCAGAGATCAGGTGTGGCACCTTACTCTTGATCACTTCTCTAAGACACACAGTGACCATGCCCAGCCCACTTTTGGCACTTCCAGGGGCACCCTCTTCTCTATCTTGTTGCCAGGTCCTGGCCTATTTCACTTTCTGCCTGTGGATAATACCGTTTGCGTTTTTTGTGTCACTTTCGGCTGGGGAGAATGTCCTGCCCTCCACCATGCAGCCAGGAGGTGAGAAGGGGTTTGTAAGGGGCCAAGGTGGGGGCTGCCAGCAAGACCTGGCTTGGCTGGGGAACCGGAACCGGCCCTGTGACGGGGACATTCGGGTTCTGGGTTCGCATTCGTATACATGCTTATCTTTTTGCCTGTGTCTCCACAGATGACGTGGTCTCCAACTACTTCACCAAAGGCAAGCGGGGCAAACGCTTAGGGATCCTGGTTGTCTTCTCCTTCATCAAAGAAGCCATTCTACCCAGTCGTCAGAAGATATACTGACTCCCTTGGGGGGAGTGTGGGGTCAAGACCAGGAGAGTCAGGCCCCCGGGCCTCTGTGTTAGGTAGGGGAGTTGGGAAGGCATCTCCCACCAGCCCCGGCTCTCCTCCCCTCAGCTCTGAAGCCCCATCCCCACCCTCCTCGGGGAGCTCAGCTTGGCCTAGATCTGACGCTGCCAGGGCCTCTAACCCCAGAGGACACCAGGGAGGGTGACAGAGCCTGCTTAGCCAGGAGGCTGAGGTGCCCCAGCCCGCCCCTCCCCCTTCCGAGGTGGATTGGGAATTCTGGCCCAGCTGGGGCAGCCAGGGCAGGGTCTGTGGAGCTGGAGAGCAGATGGCGACACATTCTCTGGGCAGGTGGCCATGGGGAGGGCCATGGCTTGGCATGTCCAAGAGAGACCGTTTTTGCTGTTGAACTGTGATTTCTGTCCAAGTGCTGACTCCCACTGAATAAAGATTCTAGGTGGCACTGTTTGCCTTAATACCCTGACAGTTCATCTTCCTTTCTTCCTGCTAAGCTTCCTGGACCGGACTAGCTCTTCTGCTCCAGGGACTCCTTTCCTGGTTTAGGTCTTGCCCTCCCAGGAGACTGTTCTTGTGGCCCTTAGTGGGAAGGGAGCAGAGGCGAGGACTGAGCCTGTCAGGGAGTGGGGAGTGGGCTCAAGGCGGCCTTTCTTAACACTCCCTTGGCTTCTATCTCTTCTTCCCTCAAGGCTCCGTGACTGTTGAGCAGGGGGGGTAGGGAGGGAACAGTCTAGGACTGGTTTAGATTTTCGGAACATCTCCAGTGTCCTATTTATAACTCTTCCTCTGGGGAAAATGGGTGGTTTCTGGCTGAATGCTATCTCAGGCTCAAGGAGAAACAAAATAAAAATTAGCTTCCAGGCAGCCTGTATTTTAGAGAAATGGGGCTAGTGGGAGAAGCTGCTTGTCACCCTAAGCGCATCCAAGGTCTGGCCCCCTTCTGTGCACTCTTGCTCCTGGGGAGATGATCTCTGCCTTCTAGGAAGGCAGGTTGGGTCTTGGGCACAGACCAGCATTTGTTGACCTTGCACCCCAACTACAGTGCCTTGCAAGTGCTCAACAGCACATACTGGAACAAAGTCCCCCACGAGAGCTGTTCCTGGCCATGTTTTATACCTCAAAGTGAGGCTGGCGGGTGCAGAGATGGACTGCACACAGTGGCACCTTTAAGCTGCTGGGAGGACCCCTGTGCTTGAAAATCTTTGCGTTCATACCTGAGTTCCCACCATAGCCCTCATTTCCTTAGCTTTAGCACTTCTGTTCTCTTGAGTATGAGCTTTCCGCTTTCCCTGGGAGAAGGAGTACGTGTTAGTCTTCTCTGGTTGCGAATAACATTGCCAGGCCCTTTTCTCCTATGCAGACCAGGACAGACAAGGCAGAGGACCTTGGAAGCTGCATCATCCTCCTGACGGGCTGACAGCCCTCTGGGCCCTTGCTGTCCACTGCCTTGTTCCTCACCTGATGTTGTGGCTTCACCCCCTGCATCCCCTGGACCGCCAGCACCCCCAGAGGCTGCTGGTGGCTCACATGTGCTAAATGCAGACCCTTTCCATATCTTACTGGATCTGGGCAGCACCTGACATGGTCACCCCCTGCTTCTGGAGTCACACTTCCCTGGCACTTCTGTGGCTGGTTGTCTACCTCTCTGGCTGTTCCTCTCAGCCTTCCGTGCAGGCTTCTCTACTCGCCTCAGGCACAGTGGAGTCTCTCAGGGATCTGTTAGGGCTCCCTGGGGAAGCCCATCTGTCCTGATGGCTTCAAGGACTCTGCCAAGGAATTAAGAGTTGACCTCCAGCCCCGTAATCCCACCTGCTCATCTGACCAGTTCTGCCTTCTGGGCACACAGACAGCTCGGGTTCACGGCCCAGATGGTGCTTGATGTCCTCTGCAAGCCTTTCCCTTTAGGGTACCTGTCTTGACTCCAAGATCACTCGGAAGCCACACAGGAAACCTGTTTTCAACTTCCACTTTCTCTGTTTACTTTAATCTCCAAAAACTGTCAGTCTAGCTTCTTAACATCTCTTGGTTTGAGCCATTCCCACCGTCCTCACCTTTCACCTGGATTACTAGGACAGCTCCTGCTTCTCTGTCCCATGGCCGGAGCTGTCTTTCTGAAATGCATAGTTGATCAAGTCACTCCCCAGCCTAAAACTTCCCATGGCTCCCCACTGCCCTCCAGGTAAAGCCCAGATCCCTTAGCATGGCTTGTGAGACTCGTGTCCTGGTCCCTGCTCACCTCTGGTTTGTCACTTGCCTTTTTGCTCTCTGGGTCCCAGCCTCTTTATCCACAGACACCATGGCTCTCTCTTGCCACTTTGATTCCTCTTTCTTGGTACTTTCTCTCAAATCTCAATTTAGATTTTACTTCTTCCAAGGAGCTTTGAATGTCCTCTCCTCCCCCAACCCCACCCCACACACCACACAGATCACTCGGCTTACTTGCCTGCTTTACGGTCTGTCACCCCACTAGACTGTAAGCTCCTTGAGGGCAAGGACTGTCCTTGAATTTTTGTATTAATAGTGCCTGGCTTGTGCCTGGCACCTAGAAAGCACTCAATAAATGTTTGTTTAATGAATGAATTGTAGTGATGTGTACAAGAGGACATAGGGGACCCAGGATAATTTCCTGGAAGAAGTACAAGTGCTTTCATAATCTCAGATTGAAACCACAGAGCCTCTCTCTCCTCACATGTGCTGTCCATGTTCCCTGCAAGACCTCAGTGGCAGCTGGGGATAAGGGATGGTAGCCCATAGTAGCAGGGACACCCATCCAGGGTGACACATTAGGTGTCCTCCACCCTGTTCTGAATCTGGAGATGAAGAGTGAGTTTAGAGCATGTAGCAGGAAGGATTTAATCTGAAGGAACAATTTCCCAGTGGTCCCTCCATCCTGGAAGACTTGTCCCTGGTAGGCTGGGTGGGAGGACGGTCGGGATGCCACAATGCCACTTTTACAATGCTAGGGCCCAGGATAGAGACTGACCCCTACTCTGAACCTAACTCGGATTTCCTGGGGGGGGGGGGGGGGGGCAAGAGATTTCTTTCCAGAGCGATGGGAGGCCTGGGTCTGAGCTGTAGGGTGGATTGCTCTGGGGGGCCGTCCTTGAGCTTGGGCGTGGGGCGCGCATAGGCACTCCCTCCCCTTCCCTTCCCGCCTACGACGCGAATCGCCACTTCAGCCTTCACTGGGCTGCCTCGGGTGGAAGGGCTACCAGAATAACTCTATGGGTTGGTTTTGGGGGAGGGCAGGGCGGGAAACCCTTGATGAGCTCTCATGGCTCCCAGGAAGGCGTCATCAAATGTCTCACGCAGGCTCATGGCCAGAGTGTCGGTCCAGAAAGTGTGGTCGCCCAAGTGCCGCTTCCGGGGCACTTCCCTCATGCTGATGGGGCGAAGGCCCTGGGGCACCTTCAGCCTGTGCGGCCACGCCCGCGGGCGCAGCCTGCGGACCAGCACCTCGAAAGGCAGCCGGGGCACTGGCGCCACCCAGTGGCCGTCGGCCGTGTGCAGCCGCGCACCGCCGTGCCCGTCGGACGTCACCTCCAGGAAGCTGCTGAAGTCGTGCTCCCGGCTGGGCTCTGGGTGCACGCCCAGGCGGACGCCCTGTGGGCAGCTGATCCGGGTGATGGGGTATGTGGCAGGGTTGCTGCTAACGTTCCAGATCATGGGCCGCCTGATGGTGGGCCGCCTGTAGGTGGGCTTGGGCGTCTGGCTGGGCTGTGCTAAGCACCGCAGGCGCGCTGCCATGGAGGGGTGGAAACTCCTGCAACACTTTGACGCCCCGTCCTCTGGGGTCTTGGAGAGGGTGGTGGCCTGCGCTTGCTTGGTGTTGGAGACCAGAGCGTGGCCTCGGTGCAGCTTGGAATGGAGCCACTTCCTGAAATCTGCTTCTCGCAGAATATTCTGCTCTTTCTGTAGTAACAGAGGGCACAAGACAGTCATGGAGGGCAGATCCCCCTCTGCTTCCGTAGGAGGCCCTGTGGCTACAGCCCTTGGAAACCCTAGGTCTGACTGGCCAGAGACTGGTTTTGCCCCAGGGAAACCCTGAGTCTGATGGAAAAAACACCGGCCTTATAGAAGCCCTTGTTCTGAAGGAGACTTTTGCCATAAGGGAGCTCCAATCTGATGAGGGGAGATACAGTCTCTGCCCTAGGTGAGCCTCTGACGGGAGAGACACACTCCTTGCCTAGGGAAAACCTCAAGCTTTATGGGGAGACACGTCCCCTCCACCCACAAAGGATCCCTAGTCTGATAAGGGAGACAAGTCATATCATATGACAATCTTTGGTTTGATGGGGGAAAAAGGAAAATGAGAAGTGGAAACAGCATCCTTGACCCTGGGAGGAGAAAACAGAAAGATGTGGAAAGCCTGGAATTAGGGAAGAGCTACTCTGGGCAGACTTCTTGGAAGAGGTGGGCCTTGTGAAGTCATGTCGGGGAAAGTACAGTTGGCTGGCTCTTCAGGCTGGGTGGCAACAAGTAGATCTAGCCCTGACCTTGTCTTGAGTCGAACCTTCCATATGCTGCCACAGAACCTCACCACCCCCCACCCCATTGTCTCAGTGTCTCACTCCCAGACTGTTGCTGAGCAATCAGGTGCTTCAGAGATTGACCCAGCTGTAGGGGTAGGCTGTGATTAGGCTAAGCCAATCATAGTAATTCCATCGGCCTTGCCCCAGACCTAAGTCACTCAGCATTGGGCTTTCCTTTAATGCTAGCTATTGGAACAAGAATGGACACTTGATCCAATTGAGGCCATGAAAGGTGACGGGAGATCTGCAAAGGGCTTCTGGGACAGATTGGAGCCACAGGAAATAGCTGGGCTTTGCCTCTTCTGGACAGGTGTGTGACTGAGGGCTGATGACGCTGCCAAGAGAGGAGGACAGGACTGAGAAAATGAGAAGTGCCGCTGAAACAAAGCTGGCAGGCTGGCGTCGCCAGCCCTGAAGCTCTCCCCACTTCGGGATCTACTTAGGATTCCTGCATTTTCTTTCTGGGATTTCTAGGTTTTTTCATCCTGTGTAATTACACCTGCTGACCATCCCCTTCCCCCGAGTCAAGGCCCTTTCTTGGTCTAGGTCCTGCCAAATCTCTGGCTCATCTGCCTCTGACTCACATCTCCCTGGCTGTACCAAATTTGCAGTTCTCTGCTTACATCATGTGGCCAGCTGCCTCCATGCCTTTCCACATGGCTGTGCCTTATGCCCATCTGCCCTTCCTTCCTCATATGGCCAACTGCTGCCACCTTCAAGGACTACTCTTTTTTTTTTTTTTGAGTTGGAGTCTCACTCTGTCGCCCAGACTGGAGTGCAGTGGCCGCTCCCGGCCACCGCAGGCTCGACCTGCTGGCCTCCGGCGATCCTTCCACCTCAGCCTTCCAAGTAGCTGGAACGACAGGCGCGCGCTACCACGCCCAGCTAATTTTTTATTTATTGTAGAGATGAGGTCTCGCCAAGTTGCCCAGGCGGGTCATGAACCTGCAGGCTCAGGCAATCCACTCACCTCAGCCTCCCAAAGGCTTGGGATTACAGGCTGAGCCACCGAGCCCAACTTCAAGGACTCCTCTTAAGCACCATCCCTTCTGGCACCCTCCTGGACTTTCTTCTCCTTGCTAGGAATAGAACCTGTCTCCTCCACTAGACTCTGGGCTCCTTGAGTGTGGGGACCATATCCTGTTCGTTATTGGAAGAGTGAGTGCTCAGTGTCTTTGGAGAGAAAGGGTGGCTCTTCTTCTTAACCAGGGTGTGAGCCCGTTACAGGCAGGGCCTCAGTCTCACCAGAACCTCTCATCCTCAGAGGGACTCATAGACACTTGCAGATTTAAGCTGTATTTGCTTTCTCACCCGGGACAAGGCTTTAGACCTACAGGGGTGGCTCATAAAGGTGGGATTTCAGTCAGAGTATGGGTAAGAGGGAGTCCCTTCGGGATGGGCGTGCTGATAGCCACTGTTCTCTCCATAGCATGTGGGTCACTGCCTCCTCTGCTCCCATACCTGGACAGCAGCTGGCACCTGGTACCCCTGCCTGCCCCTCCCTTACTTGACACTCAATCAGGTAGTTCTGCTCCATGAGGACCAGCCGGTTCTTGAGCCTCTTCAGTTTTCCCATCTCATGGGCAAGGTCCTTCTTGTCCTGCTTCCACATGGCATCCTTCAAGAACCTGGTGCCAAGGGGGTGGGTGTCATCCCCCAGTGAGTGAGCTTCTGCCTGGGCTGGGAAGACTGGCTGCCACTGAGGGCTTGAATGGGGGAGTGAGAAGAGCTGCCAGAGACGAGATGGGCAAGATGGCCAACCACTGCCCAGGGGCCCTCTGGCAAATATTTCCTTTGAGGTGGAAGAGGAAGGTGTCTGGTGGCCTGGTCACTGTCCTCCTGCTGGGGAGCCAGGGGCCCCAGGGCAAGGAAGGAGGGCAATGCTCAACCCAAGGAATGAGGACTGGGGAAAGTCCTGCCAATAATATCCTGGGCAGGGGGCCTCCTTCGCAGACTCAGTCGTCTGGCCTCCCACCCCCCCCCTTAAAGGGGCCTTGGTGAGGACCTGAGGGGAAGGGCTAGGTGACAGGGAGGGGTGGCAGGCTGTGGGTGGTTCTCACACACTCACCGGGCAGAGGCACGGTGGTTCCATATTTTGCAGAAATCAATGGGTTTGCAGCCCATGGCATCTTGGGCATGGACGTTGGCACCACTCTGTACCAGGACCTTCACACAGCCCAGCAGGCCCTCCTGGGCCGCCAGGTGCAGGGGCGTGGAGCCGTTGCATGTCTGACTGAGGAGGGTCCCGCCAGGGCGATGAGGGCAGAAAGGAAAGACAAAGGGCATCTGCCCATCAGGCGGGTTGGCACACCAGTTCCCAGGCCCCGCTCTGCCATTAGCCCCCTGGGTGAGCCTGGCCCTGTCCCTCCTTCTGACCTCAATTTCCTCTACTGGAGAAGGAGGGACTGAGCTAAATGAATAGAAAAAGTCTGATGATAGGAGGAGGTATGTGACAGTTAAGAACAGCTGGAAGGAGAGCAGGGTTCGTTCAGAGTCCCCAACCTCATTCACTCTTAAGCCAACCAGCCCGCCCCAAGCCTTGCCAAGGCCCGCCAGGTCTGCGTGATTTGGGCTTTGCCTCCTCCTCAGCCTCATCCTCTGGCTCGCCCCACTCTCGCCCATCACGAGGCCTTTGCATATGATGTTCCCTCTGCCGGGAGCAGTTTTCCCTGGCTCTTTGCAGGGCCGGGTCACTCTCAGTCTTCAGGTTGCAATTTAAATGTCGCCATCTTAGAGATGGTTGCCTCTTCCAAAACAGATGCGCTCTCTACCACCTTTATCCGTCACCCCATCACCCTGTCTGTTCTCCTCATAACCACCTCCCACGCTCTGTCAGGATTTTGTTCTTTTATTTGTTTGCTAATGTACTGTTGCACCTGAAGTAGCAAACAGCTCCGTGAGGGCAGAGACCATTTCTTGGTGTTCACGGCAGTATTCCTCAACTCTGACATAGTGCTTAGCATATAGTGCGTGCTCGAGAAATCTTCTGAATGAATGCAGTCTCCTGTATACCGTGCACTTTCTCAAGTGATCTCAGCAGTCCCACGTGACAGGCACCGTCATTCTCCCACATTTCAGTTGAAGACACTGAGGTAATGATTCCCAAACTTAGCTGCATATTTAGGAACACTTTTACAACTTTCAAAGCCCAGGTCACACCACAGACCCATTAAATCACAACATTTAGATTGGAACGCAGCCATTTGGTTTTTGTTGTTGTTGTTGTTTTGAGTTGGAGTCTCACTCCATCACCCAGGCTGGATGGCAGTGGCATGCTAACATCCACCTGCTGGGCTTCAGCAATCCTTCCGCCTCAGCCTTCCAAGTAGCTGGAACTACAGGCGCATGCTACCACACCCGGCTAATTTTTTGATTTACTGTAGAGATGAGGTCACACCAAGTTGCCCAGGCTGTTCTCAAACCCCGTGGGCTCAGGCAATCCCCTCACCTCGGCCTCACAAAGTGCTGGGATTACAGGTTTGAGCCATCCCGCCTGGCTGCCCTTCGTATTTTTTAAGTTCCTGGATGATTCTAATGTGCACCTAAGTTTGGGAATCAGAGCACTGACTCTTAGGGGTTGGCTAACTTGCCTAAGGTCCTGCTGTTTGCTAGCACGTGGCAAAGCAGGGTTGTGAACAGATCTACCCGCTCCCAAAGCCCAGTCTCTTAAGGACTACTCCAGTGGGCTTCTGACCGCTTTTCGTGGGACCCACTCCTTGTCACCCCCAACAGCCTGTCCTGCATGAATCTGCCTGCCTGGACGTAGGGCTCCTGTCTGCGCAGACACCAAGTCTCCCTCCGGAAGCAGGCCGGACTCACGCGTTGACGGCTGCCCCTTTCTTGAGCAGGTAGTCAATGCAGGGGAGTGCCACAGCCTTGTTGCTCCTGTGGATGACGAGGTGCAGGGGGGTCTGGCTATTGCTGGTGGGCAGGTCCACAGGAAACTTGTACTCCTCTACCAAGACCTGCAGGCATGCGAGCTTGCCTCCTTGGGCTGCGAAGTGGAGGGCGGTGAAGCCCTGTGGAGCCAGAGCCGGCAGGAGGACGCTGACCCAATCGAGGTCCCAGCGTCCACAACTTAACTCACATACACCTCTTGGCGTTGCCCTTCCCCTCCTCCGCGTGCCCCGGGGAATCCTCACACGCCTTTGCCGACCCCAGTGTGTGCGCATCGGTTCCCCCGACCTCCCCTCCCCAAACGGATCTTCAGCCGGGAAAGAATTAGGGCGATCCACACAGAAAAGAACCTCACTTCGCCAGGGGGCCACTACGTGCAGAGCCCTTTGCGGGGAGGATGGACGCAGCCCTTGCCCCCGCACTCCAAGGTCGTACCTTGCTGTCCGTCGGGATCTCCCCGGGGTCCCGATTCAGACAGAGCCGCAGCC